CAAGACATGCGTATCTACACTTTAAAGAGACATCTCATTCGCATGCACTTGAGGTAAAACACAAGAAAACAGATATGTAGCTGTCTCTGCATCTATATATATATATTTATATATTATATATATATTTATATTTGTATAGATGCTTATTTATATCAGTTTATTTGTGTGTATGTTTATTTATTTATATACTTGTATATTTATTTGTATACTTATTTATATGTATTTACGTCTGTTTATTTGTTTATATATTGATATATCAATTAATGTATATATTTACATAATTAATATATTTATATATTAATATGCTTATCTGTTTATTTATTAATATATTAATATATTTATCTGTTTATTTATTAATATATTAATATATTAATATATCAATCTGTTTGTTTTTTAAAGGATTACTACACCATAATGCATAAATAAGAAGCATATTAATATATTAATATATTTATTTATTTATTTTTTATATATTTGTTTATTTATATATTTATTTATTTATTTATTATTTATTAAAGCATTATTATATACAAATACATGGATAGATTAATATATAACCGCATTAATACAGTTACTTTTAAATCTATCTACTAATTAATTAACTAATTAATTAACTAATTAATTAATATATATATATATATTTATTTATTTATATATTTATATATTTATATATTTATTTATATATTTATTTATTTGTTTGTTTGTTTATAGGGTTTATCGAACAGAGTGTTTGATTTTGAGTTAATATATTTATATATATATATATATTTATTTATTTATTTATATATTTATTTATTTATTTATTTATTTATTTATTTATTTGTTTGTTTATTTGTTTATTTGTTTATAGGGTTTATCAAACAGAGTGTTTGATTTTGAGTTAGGGTTTTTTATTGACTGTCTGCTTCCCAAGACAAATAAAATAAAAACGCAGCAGTGCTACACTGAAGGTAAGGCCTTCATTTATTAATTATATTATATTATATTTTATTTTATTTTATTATTGTTTATCTTTACTTTGATTGCTTTGTTGTTGTTTATCTTGTATTTATTATTATTATTATTATTGCTGTCTTTGTCTTTGTTTAATGGTGGCTATGGATTACATCTTCATATATATATATATATATATGTATATATATATATATATATATATCTATATAGATAAATATATATATATATACATATGTATGTATATATGTATATATATATATATACATATATATTCTTTTCTATCTATATATATATATATATATTTATCTATATATATATATATATATTTATCTATATATATATATAGATAGGTGTATCTATATATATTTGTATATATATATATATATATTTATAGATATATAATTTTATCTTAGTCTTCCAGGTGTATATGCTGATAAACCTAATACATTTGTAATTTGTCTCTGTGCATGCATTATCCGCTTAATATAAATTATTAAGTTTTATATTAAATTTTAATTATATATGTTTTAATCTCTTTCTTATTGCTGCAGCATCTGAGCAGCTCGACACAGCAGGGGGCCCCCAGCCTACAGAGCAGGGGCCCCCAGGTGGGCCCCCCAGTACCCGACCTGGGGGCCCCCCTATAGATAAAGGTAGTTTTGTTGATGAGTTTAATCAGCTGCTTGCTGCTTCCTTAGAAAGCCAGGAGCATCATTACAGACAAAAGATAAAAGAAACAGAAGAAAACCTCTCTGCGCCTCTGCAGGTATTGCATCATACTATATATATGCTGCTGCTGCTGCTGCTGCTGCTGCTGCTGCTGCTGCTTTTACTGTTGCTGCGGATGCTGCTGCTGCAGCTGCTGCTGCTGCTGCCTCTCTCTGTCTCCGTCTGTTGGTGCTTCTGTCTCTCTGTGTCTCTCTTTGTTTGTTTTTGTTTGTTTTGTCTGTCTCTTGCTATCTCTCTCTTTCTCTCTCTCTGTCTCCTGCATCTTTATATATATATTTATTTATTTATTTATATTTATATATATATTAATATCTAATATATATATATATATCTGTCTCTGTCTCTCTTTTTGTTTTTTTGTGTTTGTGTGTCTCCTTTTTATTTGTCTCTGTCTTCTTTTTCTCTGTCTCTCGTCCTCACCTCTAAACCCTAAACCCTAAACCCTAAACCCTAAACCCTAGCGCGTGCATGCATTATTTCTTTGTTTATTCTATTTGTTTTAATTTGTTTGTTCTTATTATTTTGCTGCATAGGGTAGAAGAAGAAGAACTAGAGGCAAAACTACACAAAAGAATAGCTGAGCTCAAACAGGATGTAAACCCATGCTGCTGCTGTTGCTGCTGCTGCTGCTGTTGTTGTTGTTGCTGCTGGTGCAGGTGCTACTGCTGTTGGTCGGGGTGGCTGTGCTGTTGCTGCTGCTGATGCTTTTTCTGTGTTGATGTTGCTGCTGCTGCTCTTGCTGCTGGTGCTGTTGTTTGTGTTGCTGCTGCTGCTGTTGCTATTGCCTCGGCTGTTGTTGTTGTTGCTGCTGCTGCTGCTGTTGCTGCTGCCGCTGTCATTGCTGCTGTTGATGCTGGCGTTCTTGCTTTTGCTGCTGCTGGGAATATAACATTAGAACTTCACGGCAGCGAGGCTACGGGTTGTTGCTGCTGCTGATGCTGCTGCTGATGTGGCTGCTGCTGCTGCTGCTGCTGCAGGTGCAAGACCTTCAGTTTCACCTCAACGCCTCACGGCGTTTGGGCGCCAGTCAGGACACCCGAGTAAACCCTAAACCCTAAACCCTAAACCCTAAACCCTAAACCCTAAACCCTAATCGCTAAACCCTTAAACCCTCGAGCTAAACCCTAGACCCTAAGCTCTAACGCAGCAAAACCCTAAACCCTAAAACCCCAAACCCTAAAACCCTAACATCTCTCAACTTAGACCCCACAATACGTAAATTCTAAACCCTAAACCCTAAACCCCCAAGCCTGTCCTCTAAACCCTAAACCCTAACACCTAAGTTTCAAAACCCTAGGTGGCCTAGCGAGGCTCCAGAAGTTTCTGGTTCCCGTTGCTGCTGCTGCTGTTGCTGCTGCTGCTGCTGCTGTTGCTGCTGCTGCTGCTGCAGGAGGGGATTATGCTGATAGGACAGAGAGAGGGGCGAGGCAGGAGACACCGAGGCCGCAGGCGGCAGCGGGGCAGCAGCAGCAGATAGCAGCAGCAAAACCTTTTGCTGCTGCTGCTGCTGCTGCTGCTGCCTCTCAAGCCAAAAGGGGGACCCTGCAGCGGCAAAGGGGGGCCCCCCACATTCCATAGAAGAACCCTCTAAACCCTAAACCCTAACCCAAACCCTAAACCCTAACCTAAACCCTAAACCCTAACCTAAACCCTAAACCCTAACCTAAACCCTAAACCCTAACCTAAACCCTAAACCCTTAGAAGGTGATGTTGAAAACGATGCTTTTGCTTATCTCCCAGCGAAGCCCCAACCCCTGAACCCTAAACCCTAAACCCTAAG